TTCGGTTGCATTATGGTTTCAGTTTTTTTTTAAATTGTTATGTTGTTCTTATTTTGTTGTGTCACCCAATTTTATCGAAACTGATTACAATTGATTCACAAATAAGCTGTTGATCAAGGTTGATCGAATTATTAAATTTACTTAAGAGCTAGCAGAAAAATTTAGTGGGTGCAAAACGCCACGATACTTTTTCAATAACGTTCTAAAAAATTTCTGAAACCGATTGTCCAATCTACAAAGGTTTGAAAACTGAAGTCTATTTGTGAACGATTTGAAAACAATTTCGACCAGATTGATAAAATTAAAACAAAGGTAAAGGTCAACTTTTTTAACTCTTTATTTGTTCCGAAATTGGAATCAATTTACATTCATGTTTTAACCTAGGTGCTCATGCTACAACAGTAACTTACCAACCTTAATTTATGCCTTGCCAGTTCAGTGTTTTAAACAGGTTTTCTAACAATTGTCATCTAAATACTAAATACTTAAACTGCATCTTACCATCTTAACAATTACAACGATTTTAGCCTGAAATTATGAAATATTTAGTTCGACATTTGTTCTAAAGTCTCAACATTCGAAATTTTGCATGTACCTCGGTAGAATTGTACCAGGTAGGCAACTTGAAAATCATCTTCAGAACTTTGATCTGAATCCTTTGAAGTCCTTTGGCACAGCTTTTTAAACATAACCAGTCTAAAAATTTGTTAAAAAATAGAAATTTGTTCCTTAGGCAAAGTTTGGATGTCCTGATAATAAGAGGATCCATACATTTTATGTATCGTAAAAGTCAACTATTATCTGCATGTGGATGGGGTTATAAGTCGTTAGACCCACGCCATTTGGTATTATCATAAAAAAATATAAAGCTCCAAAATCTTCGTAATTTAATTTTCAGTATTTTCAGTTGAGCAAAATGAATCGAAGTCGGAGTCGAAGAAAAAGTACCGACACCAACTTCGACTAAATCATTTTTGAAGTTCTAGTCACAACATTTGTTCCATTCCCCGATTTTTTGCTTATAATAATTAGTTTAGAGTGCTTATCATGCAAACTTACCAGAACCATCTAAACCAAGGTTTACTGTTAATTTCGATCTAGCAAACCTCTTCATCACAGTGTAAAACTTTATGGTTTCGATGTTATGCTTTTGTAAACAATGCATTTGATCTTGATCGACGATTTGGCGAGTTGTGGAGTTGTTTCTAAGAAATTAGGAAATATATTTTGTATTTATTTTTAATTTAATTTTTTTCTCGAATCAATTGCAATTGCAAGTCTTCAATACTCTTGGGAAGTCCTCTGAACTTAACATAGTTCTCCAAGCTCAAAAAAGTTCCTAGAACTTCCGAGAAGTCGATTGAACTACAAAATTCATGCGCGCTCTCCAAACTTCAGGGAATTTCCAAGAAATTAAGGAAAGACCCACAAACTTTTGGAAAACCCTTCGATATTTAAAGCCTTATGAACTTCAGGGAAGCTCTTCTAAATTTAGGGTCCTCATATATTCAGTTAAGTCCTTCAAATTTCAGGGAAGTGTTAGATCTTCGAGAAAGTTCTTCGAACTTGAAGGAAGTCTTACGAACTTCTGAGAATTTCTACGAACTTCGTAGTACTTCTACGATATTTAAGAAATTCCTATGAATTTCAAAAAAACTCCGAACTTCAAGGAAGTCCTAAGATCTTAAAAAAAAAGTCCTTCGAAATTCAAGCAAAACAAACTTCAATGAACCCTTCAGGAAAGACCTTAACGCTTCAGGGAAGTTCTACGAACTTTAGGGAGTTTCTATGAACTTCAGCAGTCAGTCTTTTTAATAATAAGAGTTATTAAAGCAGCGTTGTTTATAAAGTCTTTTAATCATATGATGGAATTTCAAAATGGAAATTCACGTGCCGCCCTGTCAGAACCTCTTTGCACATTATATCAGAATTATCCTGGAAACCTGGTCAGAACCACTTAGGACTTCACCAGAATTGTGTAGTTATTCTTATCAGGCTTTTTCTTGAGTTAACACCTTAATTCATGCCGAATTCTTCTTAGAATTCGATATATTTTTGTTTAAATTGTTGGAGCCTTGAACATTCTCCAACGTTACAGAGCCTTGCAAACTTGTCAGGGTCAAAATAATGTTTTTTTTTATCATTTTTTTTTTTCTTAAATTCTCACTTGGAAAGTTTCTTAATCCCATTTTTTAAGCCTACGGAGTGATCAAAAGTTTCCTGTCTCCAAGATATCCATATCTCTAGATCTTATTTCAGCCTAATAGCGTTTAGTCTAGTAAGCTCAGTAATTTCTAGGGCTTTGCAAACATTTGAGGTCACAAGGATAGAAAAGTGATGCATATGTATTTTTCTAAGTAACTCAATCATGTAGAGGAAATGGATGTAATGTCGGCCTAAATCCCCCTAATTTGGGCCCATACATAAATTCAGCAATAAATTTTCAATAGCCAAATAACGCGTTCATCTAGATAAAATTGATAAATAGCAGATTTTTAGCGATGGGCCCAACATTAGAGCCATTTCACCTATTAATATTTTTTTATATTTGATTTACAATTAAATTTTAATTTTGTTTAAAGCCTCTAAAATAATAATTAATAGAATTTATTGAAGTACTTATAGAGCAATTATATTCCATTGTAATTTTTTTAATTTTCTATTGCAATTTTTAAATAAGTTTTGTCTTTTTGTTTTCATTTCATGCATTGCTCTTAAACGTGTTTAAATTTGATTGCATGATGTAAGTGATGTTGGTAAATTTCAATGAAACGTTCTATTGGTTTTTAATTTGTTCATTTATTTAGGCTCAACTGTCTTAAAAGCAAATCTTTACGAAGCCGAGTAGAATAGAATAATTTTACATTTTGGGAAATGAAAGACTACTCTGAAGTAGTGTCGGATTTTTTGGATCTTGATGAGTTCTTCTGCTTCTTCCTTGAGGCGATTTAATCTTTTATTGAACTTTTTCCCGTGCACGCAACTCCATCCAGGGTTACTTCCACTCACTTGCTATAAAAAGATGTTTTTCGGAATTGTGCAATCAGTAGATGTAATAATGGTATGTTGTACTTTTAAGTAACAGGAAGAGGGTGTAAAGTATGTGTATGACTCATAAAACCTGTCAATTTCGCTTTCAGAGCGTCACAATCGGCGATCTTATGATTCGTGAGCGTTCACTCTGAGTGAGCGCTCACGAGTCGTAAAATCGCTGATTGTGACGCATTGAAAGCAATATTGACAGATTCTATGTGTCAAACATATACTTCATGACCTCTTCTTGTTACTTACAAGTACTAATGGGCATTATACTCTTTAATGATTTAATAATTCTGAAAAACATCTTTTTATAGCAAGTGAGTGGAAGTAACCTTGACTCCACCCTTTCTTCGATTTTCTTTCGCTTGGCTTTCTCTTCATTCCTTTTTTGCATCGTCCACCGTTCTTATGCAATAGTACACAAATCCCTCATCATTCCAGGACTTGAACAAAAATGGCTGCTGTTTCTGAGCTTCTTCTTCGAATGTCTTCCCACTGTTTGGTTCGCCTTCCGGCATTGTCAAATGATTCATTCCTATCGCCTCTTTCTCGAGCACCTCTTCCTGTGTTTCAATGTTCATCATTTACCTAGGTGGACGAACATAGCTCTGGTCAACATTCTGACCGGAAAGCTTAACCAATGCAATACCCACTAGACTGCTAATAGTCATCAACCCGACATTGTCAGACATAGACCCGATATCGCGGCATGAACACGACATTTTGTCTAAAGTTGTTCCAACACTGATCCGACAGCGGGTTGACATTGACTTAATTGACTGTATATTCGAGCTTCCTTTTTTGTCACTTTCTCTTCAAATGATGCAAGTGACAAAATATGTTAATTGGATGGTTCTCTTCAATCACATTCAATTGAATGATTTGAAAATTAGCAGCACTGTTCTGTTTCCTATTTCACAAACATTATCACATTCAAAGTGTTTTTATGTTACTTCATACGTGAAGTTAGCGATTTTCAGAGTTGGTTGGAAATGCTTACATGAAGCTTTAGTGTGATAATTTATTAGCTAGATAATGATCTTTAGAAGAGGGTAGGTGGATAGTTCCGTTAGAGTACGGCAGTATGAAAATTGAATAGACGTTGAAAATGAGCGAAGGGCCATTAATGCGACACTTTTTAAAGTCAGACGCACATCTTTTGCCTAACCCGTACGATGTACGCGGAGATTTGAAGTATGTCTTCAAGTCTACAGGCAAAAGATGTGCGTCCTCCTTCTGCTCATAACTGACTGCTGGTGTGGAATAGTTCTAGCGACGTTTCATCACTACCTAAAGCCCCACGTTTGCGAGATCATTTCCAGTCGGTGGTGTGTTATAATGCAATTCTTCTTTACCCAACTATTGTGTTGCTCCTCTCGTCATGACCAATGAGGTCATCTCAGAGAGAAAGCAGTGCTTTCTCTCTGAGATGAGTAGTGGTGGTGAGTAGTGGTGAAACGTCAATATGAAATCAGACTTCTGTCGCGACAATTTAAATCAAAATGAGTCTTCATTATGATAGGAACTGTAAACATTAATATCGATTTGCTTTCATTTTGTTAACCGACTTTACTCGGGTAGCCATTCGTCAAAATCATCGAAAAAGACAATCCATGGATTGGAAAATATCTGCCAATTAAAAAACTGGTTGTTTTCCTTCAATCAGTGAGGAGAAAATTACTCCGCTCGTTTCGGTGCAGAAAAACTCACAGCGTTCACGATAAACGCTACTTGCTAATTATGCATTCAAAAAAGCAAATTTAGCCACCTCACTCGCCTTACGTATATACTTTTACATAAAACCTGAACATATCTTCTCACCTCGGGCTGTCGAAACGAAATGATAAACATCACAAACGCTCAATCTGCTCAACTGCTGGCGCCACCACCCGCGCGAGAAGCGCATTTTCATCCGGATAACGATGCTAATTGGTTTCTTTTCTTTTTCTCTTTCTCCACAGATGGTACTTCCGAAAGATCAAGAGAATAGAGGCAGAGAAAAAGTTGTTGCTGCCGGAAAACGAGCACGGTGCATTCTTGATTCGCGACTCGGAAAGCCGCCACAATGACTACTCACTGTCGGGTACGTGTGTACTTGTTATGTTTGGCTTCAACAAATTAGACCTTTTTTTAAACGTTTGTGGCTAATTTCTTCTCTATATCTATTGTTCATTTCCGGCTTATCCCGTGTTTGACACGAACAACGACAACAACAACAACAACAACAGTGCGCGATGGCGATACGGTGAAACACTACAGGATCCGACAGCTGGACGAGGGTGGCTTCTTCATTGCCAGGCGAACTACCTTCCGAACGCTGCAGGAACTGGTCGAACACTACAGTAAGGACTCTGACGGGCTGTGCGTGAATCTCTGCAAACCATGTGTTCAGGTGAGTCTGCATTTGCATTTTTATTTTTTTATTTTTTGTCGTTTACTCAAACATTTATAATCGAAACCAGTTGTTCGCTTGGATAGCTGCTATTAGCTAATGCACTTAAAAGTAGCTCAAGTGTCTATTTTTGACGGCTCTACCACACCCGCTAGCCGAGAAATGTATCTGCATGTAATTACTACATGTCTCAATCAGCCGAATCGTGATTGGTTGTGTGGAAGCAATAAAAAAATGTATCACTGCAGCAACAACTGGTTTACAACTAGATTATCGAAAATTTCGTTTTCCTTTAGTTTCATCTAGCGCGCTTTGCTTGATTTAAAAATCTAAACTAGCTCTTTACCGATTGTTTATCTTTCTCTCTTTCTATCACAACTCACATTTTCCACATAATTTGGTGTGTACATTTTTCTTCTTTTTCTTTTCTTTTGGTGTTGCATTCTACTTGTGTATCGCAATCATCTTCTACTATGTACTACTACTACTACTTCTGCTACTTCATCGATAACAATAAATCTGATCCATTGTCTCGCATCAATCACTGCAACAAAAAAAAACAATACAACGAATGTATTTTTTTGTGTGTGCATCATTAAATTTTGCAAAAAAACAAACAAAAAACCTAACGTCGAATCACAATCATCAGTCCAGTCGCTACTATCAGATGTTTGAGGTAGGATTCGTCAGTGTTTGTGTCTTGTGTGGACCGTATAAATAGGTTTAAAAATGAGATAGACATTGTTTTAATTGTATCGCCTCTTTTGTACGTTCTCCTCCTACCTTGTTCAAGTGGTAATTTTGTTTGTTTGTAGTATTTGTGTAAATAATTCATCTTTTCGTTCAAAATTGGCCGCTAGGATGTTGAGGCTAGCTTTGATGTGATAGGATAAAACAAATTAAATTGATTTAATTTTTGTCAAGTTTAGTCATCTTTTTCAGAACGCTATGTACACACACAACCAACACCAATCGCTGCTTGTTCAATCAATCATGAATCGCTGCTTGTTGTTTGCATTGTTGTTTGTGGATCAAGTTAATGATCCATTTGCTGATTGGTTGTTTATCATGCTTAAGATTGTGCTTTGTTTTAAATGTGTACAAAATTACTGTCAGAACTGTTATTTAGCGGCGCAAGTGGAGTAGTGGTAAGCGTGATTGCCTATCACCCCAGCAGGCCTGAGTTCAATCCCAATCGGCGCCGCCGGGATGTTCTGAGGCATAACATCTCTGATCACTTAAAGCCGTTGTAAGGAAGTAAAGCCGTTGGTCCCCGGTTCATGAGTTGATGGGTCGATAGCATTGTTGTGCTCAGCACGGAAAATCGACGGAAAACAAACCAAGGAAAAACTGATTTTTAACACGGATTATGTTCAACAGGCACTGCAGAACCTGCCAAGAAGAATAAAAAGAAGCCAGAAGTCATGTGTTGTCTTAAGATAGCACACACGAAATTCATGACAAGTTGTGCTTCTTGGCATGACAATTTTAGCGATTGAAATTCAATCAAAATAGAAGCAGCAAAATTAGTTGCTTTCCTTTGAATTGTGTAATGATTATTTTACGTTGTTCAATAAGAAAATGTACCTTTCTGTTTCCCATTTTACTATGTCACCAAAAACTTTCATTAATGGTATCTTTCAATATGCGTCTAAGTATACATATGGTATATTCAATGAATGAATCTACAAAATTGTATTCCTTGATTAAGATAGCTCAAAAGGAGGATTTTCCACAAATTATCTTACGCTATATATCACCGTCTTCTGAATTCCTTTTCAACTATAAGAAAGGACTGCCGATGACAATTCGTGACTATTTGTGCTTGGCTCCTTCTGAAGTTCATATATTTAGAGTACGGATCTCCCTACCAGTTTGATATTAACTACTGCCAGAAGATTTTTTTCAAAAAGTTTTAAAAATAAACATATCCAAAGTTTGATCATTTCAGGCAAGGAACTTTTCAACTGCGTTTGAGACTGTTGGTTATCCGTGAAAGTGAGAGCGAAAACTAGCAAATGCTCGCTCTTGGTTCAACTTGTCCTTTACGCTCGCAATATAAACGCATGGATACGGAAACAAATTGAATAATCCAGCGCTACCGCATTCAGCCTGAATTGTCAAAAAATAGTAAGGAACAAAACAATCACGCTGGTTAGCGAACTAAAAGCACTTTCCAAAATATTTAAGCACACTGCAGAATCTAAAATATTGTAGCACCAAATTTTGGAATCGTTCAATGCGGCTACGCTTAATTTATATGGTGTTTTCTCTAACAAAGACATACATTTCAAGTACCATAACTCACGACCGGTAATATGTTTCTTTGATGGGGATCCTATATGAGCAATGAAGCAAACATCTCTAGCACAGACATCAAAATCATGATTAAGGAATCAATATTTTCCAATAATAGTTTACTGGTAGTAAGCAGTGTGGTCAAGTCTCCGAATTTTTAGATTTGCTACAGATCTATGGACCGACTGAAAAATTCTGAGGATTTTCCAGATTTTTAGGGAATTTTTTGACAGGTGCAGAAAAAACTTTACGGATTTTCAAAATTTTGCCTCATTCCCCGCTCAGCGCTATCAAAAGTCTTAACTTTTTGAATGACAAATTTACCTATTTACGGATTGTACTCCATGACAAATTAACAACACTGAGTAGAAGATACTTTCTATCCATATTCGTAGGAATATAAATGAGGGTGTGGGTCACCTCGCCGGGATTGCCTGGATGTTATAGTTTGTCGTGAGTTTTGGGATGTGTGTATAGGAAAACGAATTGAATGGTGCGGCGCTACCGCAAGCAACCTGAACAGTTAAGAATTTGACGCTCTACATTTACACCCTAACCTAACCACTTGATATGATGAAACTTCTTACCAATTTAAATTTTAAATGATACAATTTGATAGCTCCTACAAGAATACCCCGGGTATGGTCAATGTGGTCCTGATCGCCAATATTCTTGTTTTACATATGACATGCCACATGATACATTTTAAGTCTTGTCAATGCTACAGTTTATTATCTTGTTTTTTAATTATCATGTGATTCGATATATGCCACATGAAGAGTTTTAACTCATATCATATTCTGGTCAGCTCTCTCCAGCGGCTTCTGCAGCATGTTTAGCTAATGTGGTCCTTTCCTGTGGTAGCATTCCCAAGTAACAATTTTGGTTTTATGGGGGTTCTGTAGACCATGATTTAGACTTGTAGCATGCTTTAAAACCACTATAAAACTTACAATGTTACTTGGGTTGGTACACAGTACGGAAAACAAATCAAGGAAAACACACCTTTAGTTTTCCTTAAAATTTTCGTGAAATACTTCTCAAAATGAGCTAAAACTTCATGTCAAATTCCATTGGTTATTCTCCCCAGAATTGTCCCTAGAATTCCTCCATAATTCTCATTGCAATTCAATGTTTAAAGGTGGCAGGATCCTGACATTTTTGTCAAGTCCAAGAGCATTGATTTGTGTTAATCTAAGATCGATTAAAACACCGTCATGAAGTCAGAAATCTCGCAAAGTTCAAAAATGTAAAAATCTAACCTAAGCTTAATATATATTCTCCTCTAATGTCCATACAATTTCTTAGTCCGAGAATTCAAGTTTTATTGCATAGATCTAAATAGTTGCTTAAAGAATTGCTATGCCCAGTCTATCACTTTGGCTTAGTACGCTTCAAATAATTTGCATGTAACTTAGATGCATTTCAAAATTCTGAACCTTTTAAAAAGATTTTAATTTTTTTAAATCTTCAAATAATTATCTAAATAATTGAATCCTAACAAATTTTCAAAGTTCTGAAAATTTATTGTATTTTTCATTAGAGGGGCAATAGGGTTTTATTCTTCGGTTTTTGCATTTAAAATAAAATGCCCTCGAATGTTTGTGCAGTCACATCAATTGCTGAACTCAATCATGCCATTTCTTTCCATATTAAGCCTGTACTATGTATATATGAAACCGGGAAAAAATGCTGTTCACCCGAGAAAAACATGAATTTTAGTTATTAAATTCAGTGTCCACCCTGTTTCCTAGAACCGTATGAACTTCTCCAAGATTTCCTGTGTTTTATAATGCTCCCTAAACTTCTTTCAAAATTCGTCAATTTCTTAAAAGTTCCCTGAGTTGTTCAAAACAAACAGTTTTCTGAACTTGTCAGAAGGTTCCTTCATTTCTTCGAAGTTGACTGAATTCCTCCAAATTACAATGAATTTCTTCGATATTCCTTTCACTACTTCTGGGAAGTTCTCTGATTTTCTCGAAAGAATCCTGTTTTTTTTGTCATAATTCCGTGTACAATACTACCGAATCAGCAAAACTTCTTTGAAAATCCCTCAGCTTTTCAAAAATTTTCTTAATGGCCTTGAATTTTCGTGAAGTTTGATCAGCTTCTACCAAGTAACTCAGACTCTCTAACATTCTCAAAATATTACCAAATCTCTCGAAATCTTCTTCCTGAACTTATCTGAAATTCCCTGCACTGTTAACTTCCTAAAAGCAATGAAATTTCCTTCCTCTTTTTAAATTATGAGCCTATAAAAAAATATCAAGAACTCGCATCTAATTTCTGAGAAGAATTGTTTTTAAAGATATCAAACTTTCAAAAGAAATTAAGATCGCTGATTTGAGCATGAGCATGATTGACCGCCCACGGTTGTTGCTCTGTTATTGCCAGATCAGCTGCAATTACACTGAGAACCAACAGATGATGTTTGGGACTAACATTCATCCTCAAAACTGGAGATCTAATATGTAGAAATACCAGCGCCGGCCGTGTCCGAATGCAGGTCAAATAGGAAATGCGCGAGCAATTTATCAATTTTATCTAGATGAACGAGTCAATGGGATGGTACTAATGCCTATTTTTGGTCGCTATTGAAAATTTAAGTCGATTGCTGAATTTATGTATGGGCCCAAATTAGGAGCATTTAGGCCGACATTACATCCATTTCCCCTATGCCGAAATCTTTTTCCTATTTTTTT